GCAGCGCTTGAAAAAAATTTCCAACTGCTTGGAACAGCAAGTGGAAGAGCTGGCTGTGAGCACAGAGCCTGTCACTGGTCAGGGTGCTATGGGGAGATGTGGCACAGCTCATTTTTTGCCCTCCACGTCTTTGCTACACAGTGGTGATGGTGCAGCATCACTGCCGGGATGCTGCTTCGGGTCCTCTGTGCCTTGACACCACTCCTGTGGATTAAATGCTTTCCTGGGGTCCTGTGGATGAAGCCTAACCCTGCCCAGATGCTTGGCCTCCAGCAGGCATGGCCTGAGACAGAAACAAAGTGTTATCTTCACTCTAGTGGGACTTGTTCAACAACTGCTATTGGGAGCTGAATGAAATGTCAGTAAATCATGGTGAAAACTCATCTATCGCAAGAAAGTTGTGTGTCCTCAGAGCAGGCTCCCCTAAGCACCCCTCTTTTCCTCCAGGCAGTCTATGTTTGCCATAGCTCCAAACTACTAGGATGCTAGCTGGTCATCCAGCATTTTTGTAAGGAATTGGAGGGATCAATCCTGCCCTGACAGGCGAGCAGCACTCGCCCTTGGCTGTGCTTCAGGAGGCTGATTACCAAACCCAGGTGTGGGCAATAAGGGCTATGCTTCCCCTCCCAGCTGATCAAAGACAAAGGCAGGCAATGCTGGAGGATCTGCTCACCTTTCCAGGGTGGCTGTAGGAAACGGTAGCTATCTTTAAAATAATCACAATCCTGTAAGAGTCTTAAGTTTTTAACAGGCGTGTGTTAATGTGGAGGTCCCTGGAGGGAACAATGAAAGGACAATGCATCTTGAGTTGTAAGTTTTGACTCTCTGTCTGCTGCCATTTGCACTTCCTGGGCTTTGGAGGAGAGTGAGAGCTGAAGGAGATCTCAGGTCTATGCATACAATCTCACCCTCAGTGGTTTTGGCTGAGCACTGGCAAATATTGAACGAGGCAGTCACGCAGGCTCTCTGACCTGCCTCAGTTGTTGACAATCTATAGCGAGCTAAGTATAAGTTATAGCAACTCAGAACGAGTTACAATTACTCTCAAACATGGAATATCATTCTTGAGCACCCAAATCCCTTTCTTTCCCCCATTTAGTGTGTTGGAAGTATCTCTTTTTTGGTGTAGAATATTGAATTCATTATTAGCCTTTAATATGTAACTTACACTGATGACAAAGTGTTCTGGTTCCTTGCTGACTTTTGATAACATGTTTTTCTTTAGAAACTGAGAGTGTCTGAGAATAAACAGACCCCAAAGTATTATCATTTGTTTTTATATTTGGACAATGTTAACCTTTTGTAGTTTCCCACAATGTTGATTGAGTTGTATGTATCAATGCCACTGTGGGGTAATTTTATTTCTGCCTCATGTTTCTCTTTTTAAAAAATTTATTTAAACCTATATTCTGTATCTTACATGGAAAAAGAAGAAAATTTTTGATGTTTACATGTATGTAAACATGATGTTTGCATGTTCACCTCTATATGCCCATTTTGATGGTGCTCCTTCCATGTATAGATCATGGTGGTTAGGATACCACATTCAGGTGGTTAGGATACCACATTCAGAGACCCTGTATAGATTATGATTTGGCTTTTTTTTTTTTTTTTTTTTTTTTTTTTTTTTTTTTTTTTTTTTTTCCTAATAGTTCTTTGCTTTTAGGATTACAAGTGGGGATTGGGAAAAAATACATTTAGTGTAATATATTTAAACTTGGGTAATCTCTATGGCTATATATTATGTGGGGATTTTTTACAARAATTTACTCATCAGGATGGGCTGTATGAAAACTCCTAGGAAATAATGCAACTACAGGATTGAAACCTGTTTCAATATGTTTCTTGTTTCTAATTAAAACATGGAGACTGGTCTTTAACTTGACTCTCCTATAAGCCTGCCTTTGTTGACAGCGTGGTTTTGCAACACAATTTGCAGAGTAATCACTGCTGGTTAGTTGAAATGGAAGTGTGTAGGGTCTGCCAGGGAAATGGACAGAGAAGGAAGGAAAGAGAATATTTCAGAAGATTACACTGATTCTATAGTTCTTTTACACATTCAGTCCATTGTGTCTTTATACTACCCCTGCAGTACATTAATTTCTGGTAGGTTTTAGTGGGAAAATTTTTTTAGTGAGGTTAAAAGCTACAAGCACTCCAATTGTAATCAAGGCTCAGATCCTTGTCAGTTCTAGTCAGTGAAAATACCCATCAAGGTATTATTCTACTACTATGGTTCTCTCAAGCTGTGCCTTAAGTAATTCTTACCATGCATCTTCAGTTGGACTCAAATTATATGTGCTTTCTAAAGCCTTTTGCAAATACCTAATAATGATGCAAAAGGTAAAATACTTCAACTAAGTAGAATAAAAGAATACAAAAGCAGGAATGGAGTCAAAAAGCAGAATCACTTAACATGCTCTTGAAGGTTTTGCTATACTAGATCTTGTTAGTGTATTTATAATTGTTAATGTTAAAAGTGGGGAAAAAAAGATGTTTAACTTTGTTAGATAAGGGGAAACAAAAAAAAAAACCAAAACCCAAATAATCTCATTGAGTCATCTGATCCACATTAAACACTTAAGTTTTTGTAGGCAAAATGTTTCTCATTCTTGAGCCCCTCGGGACAGTGCTTACATCAGAGCAGAAAGTGACCAAGAAACATAAGGGGAAAATGATGGTAATTCGAAATAATTAATTTGCATGTGTTATTTACAAATCTAATAACAACAATTATTGAACTATAAACAGAGACTAGATTTCTAAAGGTGTTTAGAAATCTTTGAAAAAAAAAGATAGGGTGTGTCTGTGGCGGGGGGGGATAATTTTTAATTATCTGTCTGTATAATTTTTAAAATATGAATGATACTCCTTATTCTGCCTTATTGTATATTAAGGCAGAGGAAAGAAGTGAAATCTCTAGCAGGAATGGCACCAAAAGTAAAAGTTAGATCAGCTGGGAATGTGTTTCCCTGGAATGATGCAATGGTTTAAGGAATCCCTGATGAAAGGGAAATTGCAAGTAAGGAAACTCATAGCTGTGAGGAATACATAAAGTCTTTCATAGAAACTGAACCTAATAGACCAAGGAGTTTGGATATGGTAAATTACAAACAGAAAATCTAATTATTACTTGGTTAGTGTTGAACCAAGGTATTAGACTGCTGAACTCAACCAACTTGGCAATTAGGCATCCTCAAGCCCTTTTTGTTTCTATTTCAGTTATTTTAATTCTAAATTTTAAAAGTGGAAGGGAATATTTGCCTGGAAGTTCAGGAAATATGCTGTACAAGTGTACAACAAGTGTACAAATGTACAGGTGGTGCTTGCACATCTAAAGCAAAAATGATAGAGAAGCAGCAACTGATTAAAACTTTTGCACAAGTTTCCAAATTAGCAAGTGACAGCAGCTAAATAAATTATTAAATATGCAGGGTGAAATAGAGGAATACTTTAGTGTATCTTTTTCATTTGAATTTGAATACCGCTATATTTCTTGCTTGTTTTATCTTGTTGCATGCCAGATGTTCTTATCAGGGAAGGCAATGGTGATGCATTTTAATATTGATGAGTTTATTCTCCTGAGAATAATAGTATATCTACCTTCTCAGAATACAAATTGTAGGAGGCTTTTTATAGCAAAATTACTACAATGCCTTGAATTTTAAATGCAACAATTTAAAACGGTTGAAAGAACTTTCTGTTTATTATCTTTATTTTATCTACTTTAAAAGGAGAATTACTCTCCTTTTAAAATTATCTATTGTTTTGAGAATGACTCTCCTTTTAAAATTTTCTATTCTTTTGGTGAACTTTAAAAAGCAAGTATATAAATCACCAGAGGTACTGTGTAATCTGTCAAAGTAGCATATGCTTAACCACCTTATAAACTATTAAATAATCGTAATATTTCTCTTTCCAAGTTTCTTASTTTATTTGTTTAAACAATCACAGAGCAATTGCAGAGTAATTAAAGAAACTTGTTTTAACTTTTCCTTTTCTTCCCCCTCTTTTCCTTCAGGAACTTGGACGTACCAAAATTATAAATGATTTGGTGACAAGCTGAGCTTGCGATGCAGGCAATAAAAGCCGTGGAAGAAGAAGTTACTTTTATAAAGGAAACACTTTTCACAGAATCCTTCCTAAAGCACCAAGAGAGCAGCAGAAGCCCGGAGAGTAGGCAGCTCCGAGAGCAGCAGCCATTGGAAGGAGCTGTCTGCGGCTCGCAGTGCTGCACTGAGCATGTCCCGGCGGAGCCCAGCGCCAGCAGCACATTATGCAAAAAGGCAGCTCCAGCAGATGGGAGAGAGGCACAGCGAGCGTTTGCTTCCCTTGCATCACCACCGCTCGAAAACAAACCTGGATCGCTAGAGGGGATCGCAGCAGGCCGGAGGAATGAGATCCGGGAGGATGGCTTGATTGCCAAAGGTGTTGCACTGCGAACAATCATGGGGAATCAAGATGGGAAGCTGAAGAAAAATACAGGTGATGTGCAGGAAGGAGAAGATGTCTCTGGGCCCAAGGATACGGACGGCACAAAGAAGGTAACGGGAGGCAGAAGGGGACTGGGGAAGCATGTGAAAGGAAGCGAATCAGGGAAGAAGAAGGGTAAGTCGGACTCCAGGCCCTCTGTATTTTCTAATCTGAGGATCAGAAAAAATCTGTCCAAGGCTAAAGATGGGAATAGCAGTTCACGGGAGGATGTTTTGGAAAGCCAGGCCTTGCAGCCTGGAGAGCTGGACAGTACTCAGTCGATTGTAGCCAAAACTCCCGATATAAGCATCTCTGCAGACGAAGGGGGTCTCTCAGACACAGATGCTGAACATTTTGAAACCAGAAATGAAACCGTTCCAGCTGCTGCAGAGACACAGGATGGACAAAGGACCAGCTCTGGCTCCGATACAGATATATACAGTTTCCATTCAGCTGCAGAACAAGAGGATTTGCTTTCTGATATCCAGCAAGCTATTAGACTGCAGCAGCAGCAGCAGCAGCAGGGGGCAATTAACACTGGAACTGAGGACCTTGCCACCACAACAATGGGCCGACACATGGCTAATTCGCAAGCGACCCCCTTGGATTTTGAACGTTTTTTTTCAGCAACTACCACTGACAAAGAGAGGAGCCCAGACACTGAGGGGGCTTTCCCAGCGGTGTCAGAGACGGTGGAAAGCGTTCCCGTCTCCCGTGCGACTGAATGTGAAGCGAAAGAAGCGGTCAATGGCACGGACTCTCCTGGTAACGGCGTGCTTGAAACACAGGAACGTCAGCTATTGAGTGAGGAGCAGCGCAGGGCCCGAGTAGATGCTGTAGCCAGTGAACTACAAGATGGTTTGAGCAGAAATGTGGTGGAAAATGGGTCTGAGACACACAGCTCCACGCAGCCTCTTCCAACTTCAGTGGCAGATGCTGAGGCTGAAATTGCTGAAGTGCAGGCTGTTGATTTTCAGGGCTCAGTAACAGAGGGTGGTATTTCAGATGCAGGCCGTTATCATGCAGCTGAGACTCAGGAAGGGAAGCACACTCTGCCAGCCAGTCAAGAGGGGCTGCAAAACGGTTTATCCACGGAAATGAAAAATGGCAGTTTGTCCTCTCAAGGAGCAACAGACAGTCCGATGCTTGGCTCCCGATGTTTTAAGCCCTACCTAATTAATCCTTGTTACATCAAAACCACAACTAGACAACTGAGTTCTCCCAACCATTCACCTTCTCCCTCCCCATCCCAGAGCCCGCTTTTCACGAGGAGGCAGGAGTCCTTCCACAAAAAGGAAAAAGTCTCAATCAAGAAGAAGAGGTCTGCTAGTTTGGCAGGTTTGTTAAGTCGCTCTGCAGACTGGACAGAAGAGGTCTCTAATCACAAAAGCGAGATAACAGAGAAGGTGAGCTCTGCAGACTATTTGGAGAACAAGGGGTTCAGAGAGAAATTTCAAACAGAAAGAGTGCCTTTGACTCAGTCAAGAAAGTCCTCAGGGGTCCAGGCTTCTACAGAGATATTTCCCAATGTCTTTTCAGGTGAGTGATATGTATTAAGGGTTCCTGTCTTTTGTTTGTTTCTTTTTCCCACAGCAGCTTTGAAAATACTTTTAAAATACTTCAATTCGTTGCATGCAATAGTTTGCATGTATTATCATATTTCCTTGTACTGACAGCTTTAAAATCCAAGGCCTGATCTTGCAAACACAGTTCAAATTTCATTAGTCGGGCAGTACTGCCAGTAAAGGAAGTGCATAACTCTTTGAAGTTTTTGTTTCTACTTGTCTCCTTTGTCTGCATCCTGTAGGAAAAGGCTGAATTCCTTAAATTATTCTTGTTGAAAAATGCTAAAAGCCTACTGTTGTAGGCAGATCAGCTCTCTGCATAAATAGATCTTTCAAATGCAAAGCTTTCTGTAAYCAGGATCCTGTTTTGAGTTTTCTTGTGCTAGGTGCTGTTCTAATGTAGTGTAAACATATTAGAGCCACACCTGGTGTTAGGCTGAGGCAATGATGAGGATTTGCTTAGTGCAAAAAAGAAAAAGCCATGCAAGCACAGATGGACAGCACTACATAAAGGAACCACTTTCCTCTTCAGGAGGGTGAAGGAGGAGAAGAAAACCATGTTAGTATCTTGAAAGGCAGCAAAAACAGGAGGGGAGAAGGGAAATCGGGGGTAGTGATATTTGGTAGCTGTGGCAGGCTGCTGCTCAGGCTACATGAGGTGACTCCTTCAGTAAAGTGCTCTTGCCTGTTACGCAGCTTGCGTGCTGTCACAAAGACATGGGAATAGAGTTCACAAGTGAAATGGTGTGAGTATATGGCTATATTTTCCTACACTCTGAGGTTTTTTTCCCCTTTTCTCTTCCCCCCACGTGAAATTTCTTAATAAAGGTAATGTATATATAAATAGGGACACTTCTGCACATAGGAGGTATGTATGCAGAGAAAACTCAGGAATTTATTACATATACTTTTCACTTAAGGATCCTGTAGAACTCAGAGAATACAGAGAACATACCCAAAGAGCATCTGTTATAAGATAAAATCAGTTTTGTTTTGAATGAAGTCAGTTCTAGATGCACGAGCAAAGTAATCATTCACGTATACAATATCTTTGCAAAAATGGAGTGAGATTTTTTCTGCATTTATGAAAAGTAAACAAAGGAGTATGATTTATGAAGAAAGGAACATTATTTTCTAGATTTAAATCACAATGCTTTTATTCTTCAGTAGTCTTGAACAAAAATCCCCAATTTCATTCTGGAAAATTAGAATTAAATTCTTTTAACACAGAAAAAGCCAGTCCCCTCTGAGACTAGCCCTCTGTGAACTGAATCTTTTTTGTGTTTTAAATCCCTTTTACCTGGTTCTCAGATTTAATTTCAGACATCCTACCTAAACTTTTTCAATTTGAGGTGTTCAAAATTTTCAGATTTATAGCATATAAAAAGCACATTTTTAAAAAAATCTGTCATCATTTGACAGTTTATGAGCCACTCAGAAAAATTTTGTCACATCAGTAATTGGACTTTTTGGTGGAAATAAATTTTATATGGCAAACTTCAAGAACATGGTGGGTGTTTTTAGACACTTTTTTTTTTCCTGGGAAACAGTTTTTTTGTGTTTCCTTACAAGGTTTTGATTTACTTACTAATAATTTTTGGTTTGGTTTGTTTTTTCTCTCACCAATGCTTTAGAGTGTTATTGTGAAGGGACCAGTGTCCAATGCAACAGTAGTTCTATCTCGTATGGAAATTACAGTGACCCTCATTTGCATGTATATACCAGCTGTCTTTGCAGGCAGAGGACAATTATATCTTTCAGTTCATGCAAAAAAGCTTAAAGTGAGGAACTGGAAATGACTCATTTGTTTGGCTATTCTGAGTTTTAAAAAAACGTATTTACAAGCTAAAAATTTTCAAGAATTTAAAAATAACAACTAGTATACATAGAAAAAGGAAATTAAACTTCACGTTACTATTCCCATAAACTTCCATTGCTGTAAGAGCCTAAAAGCCTTATTTAATAAGCCATTCTGCACAGCTAAATAATTTCCGTGGTACTATTTGATACTATTTGTGAAAAATGTTGTATTTACTTGCATGCAAGATATACATTGATTAGGGGGATTATCATCAGGCTTGTAGAAATGCCATTCTTTATAGAGGGATATTTCTAGCACAAAAAAAAAACAAAAAAAAAAAAAAAAAAAAAAAAAAAAAAAACAAAAAACAAAACAAAAACAAAAACCCAAAACAAACCAAAGCCAAACCCAAACAGCTTCTTGCCTACAGCATTAAATCCCATTTTGCTGTGCAGTGACTGCAGAGTTGTTCTGCATTTCTAACTGGGATCAAGTAAAATATTCCACAATGCTTTTTCATCGATTTCAATGACAGCAGGTTCTATGCAGATGATTGGCCTACTTTTGCACCATGTTGGCTGTGTGCCATTTGGTTTTCACAGTGATCCATATGAACTCTTTAAGACTGCTCTAATGTAAAATGTAAATGGATACCAAGAACTTGAATGGGAGTCTTTGCATATTTTGATTTTGCTTTATATAACAGGGAAAGTATAGTATTTCGAATATGATGCATTGCTTAGGAATGTGGTGTGGACAAGTTTCTGGGCATTTTGTATTTCAGGCATTGGATCTATTTCTTTTTTGATGAGGACAGCTGTATTTGAATTTGCAGTGACAGTAATTACACTGAATTACTGCAGTGACAGTAATTGGGTAATCTAAGCTCTAGATTACCCAATCCACAGTGGAGTCATGGCTTTTATATCATGGTCCCAGGAGGACAAGAGCTCCACAAGAGTTAGTTCTTCCACTTTGGTGTGTAGCAGTGAATGATTTGCACTAATGTGAAGAGAGTATCTTGGTGGGAAAATGAAATTGCTGTTTCCAAACATTAACATAACTGAAATGAAAGAGCCAATAGATAGATTTAGTAAAAAGGATGTCATCCTTGCATTAGTTTGAGGTGCAGTGAGTGCAGAGGAATTAATAAGGGTGTCTTTTACATAAATTGAATGAGTCCCATCAGCTGCTCCAGATGGTAATTAAACCTGACCCAGACAATCCCATGCCCCTTCTAATCTCTGTTGGCTGGTTGTAACACACTTGCTGTTTGAAGCTCTTTCAAGCACATCATTTATCATTAAATCTCTCTGCAGATTACTATTTGTTCTCTTCCTCTTTGTGTAAAGAGGAGACAAACAAAAAGTCCCGGTTGCCATAAAACAAAACCTGAAGCCAGTACTGTGCTTGTGTATTCATGTCTGTGTTCTGATTCCCACAATTCTTAAAAATGCCACTTCACTTCTGTGCTGGGCTAATGTCATCTTCCCGCTTGCATTTCCAGTGCAGTGTCTACAGGCATATACAAAGGCCTTAGTATACATAAGTATGTGAAAACTTGAAAAAATTGGATCAAAGTTTGTGTCTGAGAGATAAATTAGATATTTTTAAATGCTTTATCAGGGCTTTTTTTCTTTCTCATTCATGTGATGATGCACACAATATGGATTTGTATCTGTTGGCATCCTGAGCAGACTGTTTCTCATGCAGCTGTTATTTAGGATTACTTATGGTTTGCTGTTTCACTGATGGTGTTTGTTAGCAGTAAAACAAATGATTCTTTTATCAGATGGGTGCAGCCTTCTCTAACCAAGGGAGCTGCCCAACAGCAACTCTACATGTGGTGTGTGATCACACGCTACCCCGAGTGCTGCTAGCGAGCATCTGAAGGGAAAGATCCTCCTCTTTTTGCCTAGTACACACAAAAAAAGGGAGGAAGGGGGGAAGATGCCAATAGTGCATTTCAAATATACTAAAATGTTTTTGAAAATGAAATACGGGCTCAAATATGTTATTGAAAGACTTCTGAATGCTGATAAGTTTCTTTAATGTTACTGTGCCAGCACTGCAATAGGGATTTGGAGCAATATGAGTAATTTCACTGGAATTCAGTGCTGCCATGGGCTAGTTTTGATGGGATCTCATTCTTAAAACTTTGATCATTATCTAGAGCTTCATTGGGAGTTGCAGGTTTTGGTCATGGGATTTAGTGGCTCTGTCTATTGGGCAACTACATTCTGAGCGGCAGCCCTGTTCTGAGGTATGACTGACAGCCTGACACAGGTCTGGGGTAGCAATGTGTGGTCTTGGTGGCCTGATGGTCTTTTTTGGGGTGCAAAAGAGAAAGAAAAAGGGACAGTTTTTAGCTGAAGGCCCACACAGCTCTGTTTGGTTCTGTGACACCGTATCACTATAATATTCATCACACAACAGATCTGTCTGGAACTGACCAGTAAAACTCATTGTATGCTTCACTGACTTAATTTCYGTGAAATGAGCAGGGGATTCTTACAGTGGGAATAGTAATGTGGAGTTTGGTTATATTTTTAGGATGTAATTGTGCTTTATTATTTTTTTAAATATGTATTTATTAATAGCTTGGGGCGTGGTTTGTCTATTTAAAAAAGCCCAAAACTCTGCGTAGAACTCTTATTTGCAGAAAAACACTCTCTATTTCCTGAAACAGGCAATTGTTGTGTCTGAAGAAAAACAAATTTGGAATTGAAAAGCGATTCTAGGGATATTTTAGGCTGTCTGTATGTGAGAGATTAAGTTCTAAAGTGAATCATAGTGATAGAAAATTCAAAAATACTAATTACCCAAGATACTTTCCTTATTTAATGTTTTAACCAAGTTCAGGGTATGGCTAAGTGTATTGCTTATGAACTACTTCTGCCAAAATTTGAGCTTACATAAGGCATAGTGGTGATGAACCGTATATGTGTAGGTGTGGGTGACTGCAGCTTTGGTTATTTTTASGTACATTTGAAAACATCATTCTGTAGCAGTTAGCTGGACTGCAAGTTTCCAGAATCTTTCTATGTATGCAGTTGATCTTTTTTGGGAATGGGGTGAGTTGGTACATGGGGAGCAGGGCAGAATCAGAAAGAAGCTTTGAAAGGAAGGTGATGGAAGGATGTGAGGACTTCACTTTCAGTCGCTTCATTCCT